ATTCCAACTTTGGATGATCATTTTTTTAAGATATCATTATTGTAATTTAATTCTATCTAGTTGAAAAACAACAATTCATTATTATCAAAAGAGTGCAATTAATTATAATAAATTATTAATATTGTTCATAGAAAAGGTTTTTAGTTAAAATAAACTATTCACAGGCTATTGATATCAAAATGCATAGAATTTATTAGTATCATTACTATATGCAAACTGTTTCACTGAAGAACTTTCAATAGAGCCTGTTGCACTCTATTTTTGTATAAAACTTTTATGCCATACTATTAGCAGCACATGATTTGCATAATAGCTACCTTTTATGGTAATTTATCAATTTAAATTCATAAAATCTGATATTTATTGTTATATTCAATAATCAGTGATATATAATTTAATATATAAAATGCATATCTAAAGTTTAATTTTTTAGAGACTACAAAAATTTTAAAGCAATTTTACAAAAGCTATATATCTTATTTTGAGATTTGTTATAGCAAAATCTTCTTCTCTTTTTTTTCACTAACAAAATTTGATTTAGTGCTTTATATTAGCAAAAGAACTAAGATATCTCAAGAATTGAAATAATGTCAAAATTATTAACATTCTTTTAGCATGAAATAAATAAGAATTCGATATCTATTAGAAGAATTTGTTGTTATCACTCTTCTGTTAATAATTCTATTTCATGATTATTTCGATATCATTAAATATCTTGCTGAGTTTTGATTACCTTGCTTTATAATAACAAGAATTAGAAAGATGGAATTTATAATTGAAACAGAAATTCAAAATGAAGAGATTTAGATAGAATTTGAAGAACAAAAAAGGATATTAACATGGTATCTATTTTGGAACAATATTTGTTATAGAATTTAATTTAAAAATTGACTTCCTAATCTAGCTACACATTTTTATAACGAATTTCATTTACATATATAAATATACAATTGTAAATTAATGTTAAATACTTTAAATGTAATTTAATTAGAAAAGTATGTTGATGTTTAAATAAGGAATTGCACACAAATTTTTCATCTTCTATTTATTAAAGTTTTTCTACATTCTAAGAATAATTAAGTTATAATTGAAGAAGAGTAAAGTATTATTAACAACTTGTAATTGGAAATAATAATAATACATCTTGGTTTTGGAATGGAAAATTATGCCTTAACTCATAATCCTCCTTTTTTCAAAAAAGAAAATCCAAAAATTTACATGGCATATCTATAATGCTAGTTACAATAACAATAGTAGACATTCTAAACGAATTATGAAGAAGAATTTACTGAATGTTAAGACTAACTTTGATCTAATACTTGTATTTGAAAAAAAATTTTCATCCATTTTTCAATGTGCATATATTAACTTTTTTATTATATTGTATTACACAATGGCAACAAAATCCAATAAGATGGACATTTTATTGAAAATCTGTACCTGAAAATTATTTTTAATGAATATATCATTAATAAAATTTTCATTATGGTAGAAAGTATTGTTTCTCTTAAGGTGGGTAATATGAAGATAGATCAGGTAGAATTATTGAAAGAAAAAACTGTCAAGATATAGAATCTGCATACTGAATTTGAAATTGAAGGGTGCGCTTTTTTTATAAAAAATTAAAATAACAAACCAAGTAAGTTAGTTTGTTAAGGTTTAGAAAGATTCGCATTGAGGAATTTCAATTTTTGCACTTTCTAACAAAAGAAGAATGCTATCTTAAAAATTATCGATTTGGAAAACGAAATTTATAAATAATAGTCATTATTCTTAAGAGAAATTATTTATATTTATTTTAATTTGTAATCAATTCTTATCAGGATCCGTTCTCCACGGAATTCTCAAGTGTTCCTAAACTGGAAGGGGACCCCAGCTATTGCCATGCCAGGGAACTCTGAAAACTCTTCAAACATGGCCAGAAGGGATATGAAGCCTAGGGAACTTGAGA